ATCAGCAGGCCTTCCCCAAAACCCCAAAACCCCAAAACCCCAAAACCCCATGGAGTATTATCTTTAGATTAAGAAAGGAATGATTAAATGATAAATAAAATCGTAGCATTAATTCGTGGAATTTATTTTTCAATGGCTCTCGATTGATCATCTTGATCCTCTGAAACCTCCTCTACTGCCACCGCGGACTATAAATATAGTTAAACAATATTAAATAATTACATCCTCCTCTGTCACCGCCTCTAAAGCCACCTCTGTCTCCTCCTCTGAAGCCACCTCTGTCGCCTCCTCTGAAGCCTCCTCTAAAGCCACCTCTGTCACCTCCTCTGAAGCCACCTCTATCACCAAAGCCTCCTTTAAAGCCTTGCTTTCCTGCCATTTTACCTTACTGATCTCTTGGCTTTGCTGCTCTTGGATATGCTGGTCTTGGTAAGAAGAAACCAGTGTTTCTGCATTATTAAGGATCAGCAAACAACTATTAATATTAATTAGATTTCATTGGTTATTTTTAGGGATGAATTTTAGTATCGAATATCAATGAAATATACACTTTACCTTATCTCCTGCTTTGAAGCTCTCAGCCTTGACTCCTTCGTCTGGTTTAATTGCAATACCTGACTTGCTAATGGCACCGAATACATCGTCGACCTTTCCAACTTTGTTCTTATTTTGCAAGTAAATGTTTCTCATCAAGAGAGGAACATTATCAGTAGTGTTATAGGCAATCAACATTCCTTCGCATGCATGAGAGAACTCGGCTACTTGCTCAACATAATCTGGGGGACCAAAATCGAATCCTAAAATTAATTATTAAACTACTAATGATTTGCTACCTCTACCACCGCCGCCGAAGCCGCCTCTTCCACCGCGTGGTGCTCCTCTGAATCCACCTCTATCGCCTCCTCTGAAGCCTCCTCTTCCTCTCATTTTCTTTATATATCTAATAATAATTTATAAATTAATTTAATATTATTTAATACTAGCAATACTCTATTCCACAAATTTGATAATTCCGGGGTTTTGGGGTTTTGGGGTTTTGGGGTTTTGGGG